AACGTGCAGAGAGAGAGAGAGAGAGAGAGAGAGAGAGAGAGAGAGAGAGAGAGAACATTGAGATACTGTCGCGCGCTAAATAAATCGACGCAGCGCAAATATCCAGAAACGCTGGTAGCACACCGTACGCGCATTCTTGTGCTGGCGTATTTATTATGAAAGCTAATTACCGCGCCTCTCGAGTACGGGATAGGCGTACATGTCTGTAGGGAACGCGGAGTTAATTACACCTTAACCGTATTCAGTATTGTAATAATGTGCGGAAACACCCGGAGGATATTTGCTCGAGTTGCCAAACTAGGCGAGCCGGCTAAGTATAATGAAACGCTCTATATCGTGAGATTAGGAGCGAATACTAAAAGCCATTCTCTGCGACTCGAGATTATTAAGAGTCTCGGCGCCGTTATTGGACCCGCGACGCATACACGCCGCGCGTATGCGAACTCATCCGTCTCCGTTCGCCATCCACGCACGCGGCACGCTGAAAACCAAACAGTCGATTAATTATCGAATGCGAACGCACCGGCCGATAATCGCGCACGAGGTCGCGCGGTGCACGACAACGAAGCCAGACGAGATATTAAAGCGATGCGTCATCCGCGTATCTCAACCCCTTCATCTCTCTCGCAGCTCGACCTAAGTTCCCGTAAATTTCCGCAGGAGACGCGCCCGCAAATAAATGATCCTGGAAGGGGGGATTCTTTTCCTCCGTGCGTTTTGAAGAGTCGCGGACAAGATGTTGCGGGAATATCAGGAGGGAAACTTCTCGAGAGTGGAAAGAACAACTTACAGATGCCACGATTCTTCCGAACCTGCGACGCCGGCTCAAACGGATCCCTTACAAACGACGAGCGCTCGCGCAACTTTTTGACCGCGTGCAAAACGAATTCTCTCAACTTGGCGGCGAACTCCCGCCACGTTTCTTCGTATGTTCGTATGTTTCTCTTCGTACTTTCGGAATTAATTAATAGTCATGAGGAACGCGTAGCTCTCTGGAAACGGATGAGGCCGATCGAAAACTTTTAAATAACTATCGATCCAACTATGGCAAGACACCCACAGAACTGTGTACATTCTTTGCTAACAGATCGACGCTACACAGAAAAAAAAGAATATTCTTGTTTGGAGAATATCTTTATTGTTGACATTTTTCAAATAAGATTAATATTAAGATGAGATCATTTCTCGTATATAAGCAAGAATATCAATATTGTTGGTAGTAAGAATATTAATATTGTAATATTCTATAAGAAAACAATTGTTAATTTGACTATATTCGTCTTGATTAAAAATCAATTTATATTCGTTCAATGCCATATAATCTTTAACATTAATGTTATTTTTAAAATGTCAACAATAAAAATATTTTCTAAACAAGAATATTCTTTTTTTCTGTGTACGTATCAAGATTCTGTGTCGGGTATATTGTGTATTCATCTTTCTGATTATCACCGTATTTCTATACTGAGAAAAAAATGAGATTGATCTGACTAAAATTATAATTTTTTTTCTTTTCAACCATACTTTTCGATTAGTTCCTGACACAAGAATGGCAGTAATAACATGCACATAAGGTTATTATAGTAGACTAACATCATAGCAAAATTTAATTATATAAAAAAATTGTTTCCTTGATTAATTATAATTTCCAGTAATTATTTCTCTACGTGATTATACAGATATAAATACCACACATTTTTTCCTTAGTGTAATTTCCAATTAATAAATTCGACAATCGTCCGATTCTATTACTGTTTAAGCGATAGTAACAATAAATGAAAGAAACGCCGACTTGGCACGTTACAACAAGTGCCGGCTACACATATTAAAAAATAAGATTATTCTCTAACAGCGTACTTATGTCCCGACACGCTCTGTACCTCCTTTTCCTCCTTTCTCACTCACTCGCTAATCTAACCTAACCTCCCGAGATTTGGCGTTGTCTTTTACTCTTTACCTCTGATTATCACCGAATTTCTAGTTCACGATTAATAAATCCGACGATTGTCCGATTCTATCACTGCTTGAGTGAACCGACAATGATAAACAGTATAAGAGATACCGACTCGACGTGTCGCGACAAGCATTGCTTGTATACATCGAGAAAAATACAAAAAAACAAGCCAATTACTCCATAACAATATACTCACAATATGTCCCGACAATCGCACGTCGCTACTTTCGACACTCTCAGTACTCGTACGAGACTCACTTATGATAGACAACAAACGTATGAACGTATGACAACAAAAGTATGAAATGCAGAGCGATGTTATTCGATGTTAGCAACGGTTGTAGACGTAGAAAGATCGATATCGAAGATAACTGCATATGCTGAAAATGCGCGCAACAACGTGAACGGTATCGCGACGAGAACGCACTCTGTAATATATCCCTCTTAATGTCTCTCTCTTTCTCTTGCTAACGTACCTCCCGAGATTCGATGTCGCGAATATCCCTGATATCGTTCTTTCCTTCTGATCACTACCGAATTTCTAATTCGCAATCAGTAAATCCAACGATCGTCCGATTCTATCACTGCCTGAGTGAATTCAGCGGTTATAACAAGTGTAAAAGACGCCGACAAGCAACGAGTGTATGTGTTGAGAAGCGAGGAGATTGCTTACCAATAACGTTCGGACGATCGCACATCGCTATACTCGACACCCCTGATACTTATTTCCGTGTGTGAGACTCACTTTCGACAGGCAAGACGCGTAAAACGCGGAGCAATGTTGATCGATGCGTCAATGACGAAAAGGCCGAAGATAATCGTGCAACTAGTGACATACGTGAGCGACGCCGCGCTCCTATGACGACGCCATCTGTACTATTAAGCGGGAAGCACACACTCTTGCACGAAGACATAATGCACAACGCATAAGAGGCTGAACAGAAGAAAAGGAATAAGGAACAGGGAACAGAGAAGGAATACTGAATACTGAAAACAAGAAATAACGCTATTCCTCTGTTCCTCTATTCTGCGTTGATGAATTAGGTTTCATATTTTAATATTGAACTGTTCTCTATTCTCTGTTTCCTGTTCTCTATTTTCGATTTCCTATTCTTTATTCCTTTTATTGTGTTTAGCCCCTAAGGAAATGAACCAATCAGAGTTCTCATTTCTATTGCCACGATGAAAATGCGTTATGCATTATGCTTTATGCAGAAGTGTGTGCTCCCCGCTTGATAGTACAGATAGCGTCTTCATAGGAGCTCGGCGGCGCTCACGTATGTCACCAGTTGCACGGCTATCTTCGATCTTTTCATGCTGAGCAACTGCCATTGACGTATCGATCAACATCGCTCCGCGTTTTACGCATTCTTGCCTGTCGAAAGTGAGTCTCACGCGGAAATAAGTATCGGGAGTGTCGAGAATAGTGATGTGCGATCGTCGAGACGTATCGTCCGGACGTTATTGGTGAGTAATTTCCTCACTTCTTGACACATACACTCGTTGCTTGTCGGCATCTTTTACACTTATTACCGCTAGATTCACTCAGTGATAAAATCGGACGATTGTTGGATTTATTGATTACGAATTAGAAATTCGGTAGTAATCACAAGGAAAGAACGATGTCAGGGATATTCGCGACGTCGAATCTCGGGAAGTGCGTTGAGTTAGCAAGAGAAAGAGAGAGAGAGAGATAAAGAGGGGTATACTACAGACCGTGTTTTTGTCGCGACACTGTTCACGTTGTTGCGTGCATTTCAGCGTACGCGGTTATCTTCGGTATCGATCTTTCTACGTCTGCAAGCGTTGCTAACACGTCGAGCGACATCACTCTGCGTTTCACACGTTTATTATTTGTTATAAGTGAGTTTCGTGCAAGTATGAGTATTAGGAGTGTCGAAAGTAGCGACGTGCGATCGTCGAGACGCATATCGTCCGAACGTTATTGTGATGAGTAATCTCCTAATACATATACTTGTTGCTTGTCGGCGTCTTTTACACTTGTTATTAATACTTGTCGATATCTTATCGATATTTTTTTTCAATTGATACCTTATTGATAGATCATTAGTTGCTAAAGTTTCCAACCAGGTTTCTAGCTACGGCGTTTCTCGCCGACAGTTAATTAAACCAGAGAACAGTTACCGTTTTCTGGATTAATCAGCAGTTATACATGAGAAAGAATGGCTAGAATACATGGCTAGAAATAAGTCTGGTCGAGTATTTTTCACGACTATCAATCCAGGAAGAGTGATAAGTCTCCGCGGTACTGAGCCCTGTACACGAACTGTGGTGCTCAAATAACGCGCGACTTCTCATTTCTAAGAATATTATCTATTCAGAAGCCGTTAATAAACTTTATGCGCTCTCCACTCGAGTCATCCGCCCTCCCTGAGGAATTTGCATTTAGAAAACGTAATTTCAAATTCATGCGATATACAGAGTGCTTCGTTCATCTTGCATTAAACTTCACGACTGTGCAGCTTGATTTCTCTCATTTCGAGGACTTGGCGGAACACGCGACGGGGAAACCGCGCTAGAATTTTACCGTGCGACGCCCCAACTGCGCCGGTCTTTTTCCCATCGCCGTTCTTTGAATGTGCGTGTATCTTCTTTATCACGAGCGTGTAACAAGCGCGACATTATTTATCGAGGACTCTCCGGGCGGACTCGCGCGCGGAAGCATATTTTGCCATTACACCGAGTACGGCGCCCCAGGAATACAAGTGGCCGCAGCCGGCGGGTTTGATCGTCACCCTCCCGTGAACCCTCCTGCCACTTTTAGCACGCCGCGTGTGAGTACTCGGTCAGATGTCCCTGCATTATTTGTGCCCTGCGGAAGGAGCGAGAGGGCCGGGCCGCGCCGCCGGAGATCGAGGGAGATGGAACGCGGCAACTTCATATACGGATGTACGGGAGTACATCGATCCGACCGCAGCCCGATTGCCAAACCGCCGACTGCAATGCAGCGTCCGCCGCCGCCGGTTGCATCGGATCCGCAGTTGCACCGGCGCCGGGGGTAGTCGGCTGTGCCATGGGAAATTTAATTTCGCGCAGGCTTTACGCTTTACGCTCGAGATGTAACCGCCGCCGGCAACGATCTCGCGTTGCCGCGCCCGTCGTGTCTGGTATTTCGGCGAGATACGCGAGAAACGAGCCCCCTCGGCATTCCCCGCATCGAGAGGATTCCTCGATTCTCGAAGGAATCGAGAAGTCGCGGCCGTACGTGGGCCGCCTTGATTTCGTCTGTTTTCTTTTAGCGCACCCGAAACTATATTCTGCAATACTCTAACCGTCCATCTTATGATGTCCTCGTCGCGACCGTCCTGATTAATGACGTCAAAAGCGAGAAAAGACATGCCCGAAATTCTTGCGAAACACGTCGAAATAAATGATTATGCCCATACTTGTGATTGATTTTAAGTTTGTAATACGTCCCGGAAACTCTCCGTTTATTCTGACGATGAAGGAAAATAAGCACAAAAATTAACGCGACAACATCGAAGACAGACTAACAAGAAAGGACACGTCCATTGTGTTAATTTTACCGTTATTTGATAATTATTAGAACAAGAGGAAAGTTTTCAGAATATTTTACAAATGTACTCAATCGATCCCAAGGAGTACGCTTTATAAACATACCTTTTCCAGCATATTTCGAAAGAATTTGGGCATACGTTTTCTCGTTTCTGACGTCAGAACGGTAATAGACTACGCTGAAAAAATGTCTAAAAAATAAAAAATATTTATTCGACGGATATTAATAATACATTCACTTAAACTAATGTAAAATATCTTGGTTTCCAACCAAGAAAATATGCATTTTCTTAAAACCTTCATAAATAAGCTCTTCATAAAAATAATTGTTTATTTTATTTAAACAAAAAAATTTAATTAAATATTTTGCTGGTATACCTATCGATTAAGTTTTTTTTTATTTTTAGATATTTTTTCTCTCAGCACTGAAAAAAGATTTTATTGACAAAAGAAAATTTGATATACCAAACTGAAATTTGGTTAAAACTAAATGTCTGGTAACCCAGAAACGGAATTGCCGCTATGTGTTTTGCTTTCTCGATAATACATGTACTTAACACAAGTAAAAACATAGTAATGCCAATCAAATCGCGCGTGTGCCAAAAATATTCCAAATATAAAAATAATTTTTCCAGTGAGCGCGAGAGCCTTAAATGCGAAAGAGCGCGCTTCTCTCAGGCGATTTTCCCGCAAATATCCAGCAGTGCTTCCTTTCACCTTTATATATGGTTAACATTTACTCTGCTTTATGATGTTCGAACAACTGCTGGCCGCAGATAACTATGAAACGTCCGTCGGAAATCACTCGGCATTAACCCGAAAGCAGAAGTAGCCGGTATCCGCAAGCGTTATCATATTCCGGCATCCGCGTATTCGCGCTTTCGTTTCCGAATTGCAATTCCGCTCGGTTCCTCTGGTCGCGTCGTATCAGCACCGAGCACGATAATTCCACTCAATGTTCGATATTCGTCCTGAAATTCTAGATAGACAATCGAAAAACCGTCCGAAAAATTACATTATTGTCAGGCCGCACAGGAACCGCGTTATCTTTTACGTTGCCCGGTGGATAAGAATATTATTGACTCGGCGTTCTAACGAAATTTCATCCTCGATTTTCCGCTTTCCTCCCAATTCTCGCGTATATCGCGTGTACCATTCTATACCGACAAGTTCTCGCTCCCGCTATTCTTCACATGCAAATCAGGAGATACATAGTATTGCATTCAATTCGCTGCTCCTCCATTGATCG